GCAGATGACCACCCACCTAGAGCGGAGGGGTCTGTCCTTGGATCTCACTTGTCAGGTGCTTCCAGAGTGCACACTGAAACACCAGAAGCCTGTGTTTGTAGCAGTCTGCACCTGCGGTCACCTTCTTGACAGTGGGAAAAAAATGCTCATACATAGCAGTAAAGGCATCTGAGGGAAATTTTTATTGCAACAATATTAGACATAACCATTGGTGCCTTTCAATGTGTTGTAAGAACCGTATAGATTGTCAGCTTTTGCTTTGTGGCCTCTGCATCCATTTCTGTGGCCCAAGGTGCACATACTAAGCAATGTTGTGTAAGGTTGATGTATGAGCATCATCACCTACTTTGCATCTTGGCTTTAATTATCTACTGGAGGATTTTTCGTGTTTGACTGACTATAGGAAAAATGAGGAAAAGATACAATTTCCCTAATTTTTAGTACAGAATAGGAAATCAATTAGCCTATGGATTCTTTAGCAACAAATGTATGACATTCACTTACTCTTAACTACATTCAGATCCAGGATTTTTGTCAATCAAAAGCCTCCATCTCCTTCCCAAAATCCACATAGACCAAATTCATCTCCTTCACTCGGGATGAATGGTTGTGTCCACAGGGAGTCAGTCTAAAACCCCTTTGCTGCTCTCTGAATGCAGAGGAAGATGACAGAGAGGGCAGACATTAGGACATTCTCATACGTATATGCTATCTCACTTCTCCATCTTAAGCAATGAGAATGCTTGAGCAGAAAAAAAAAGATGGATGAAGATCCTATCGCATAACAGCAGATCTGGTAGAGTGCAGAAGTCTGCTTTGCAAAGACACACAAAAACACACAATTCTGCTTAACATGGCTGGGACTAACCTTACTATTCAATATGTCTACCTAGGCCTTTGTCAACTCTTTGTGAAGGGATAAAGTGAGACCTCAGGGGAAGGTGAGTGTCTGGCTGGCTGTGGCCTGGGCTCTGATAGCATTGTGATGAGTGAGAGGGCAGGGCTGGAAAGGGCTGCTTATTGAGGGATAAAGTGAGAGGATGAATGAAATGAGAGTTTTATGGTGTCTTTTTGAAAGCGCACCCCTCTGAAGGTCTTACAGCCTTTGGAATACCTTTGCCTTTCACCAATTTAGTTTTGTTGTTACTTTTGTTTTGTCTTCATATTTTTGCAGAGGTGGCAAAGGTACACACATTCTTAGTACAGTAGAAGTACAGATACTTGTGTAAAAAGACTGTTAAAATACAAGTACTTAGGTCACTAAAAGTAAAATAGTACAGGCTCTGAAATGTACTTAAGTAAAAAGTACTCTCTTGGTTTCAATGAAGGACATTTCTTCTGGCTGTTTCTATGCAAACCTAACTAAGTGTTGAGTGTCCTCTCTTGTCTGTTTCGTCTTGTTACCTTATTATGTTTTTTTATGTTATGCCTATCATGAAAAAAAATCTATTCCCTTCAAATGCATTTAAACTAAAAATGTAGGGAGTAAAAGTAAAAGAATTGTATGAAAAAACAAATACTTAAGTACAGATAACTGAAGTACAGTAAGACAGCTTAGGGAAGAGAGAGGAGGGATGACTGGGCTGTAAAAAAACAAGTCTGATAGAAATAAGTCTCTACTTCTGACTTGGTTTATTAGCGCTATAAACACTTTCCCAATTAATTCAATCTCTAGTTTCAAGTCTTTTTTCATATAGCATTTTGGAAATGATGGTCCTATTTAGAGTTAAATCAATGATAAAGCAGGGTATACTTTAGGGTGTGGGTACCTTTTGATTGAAAAGTCATTCTCAGTGAGTCCGTTTAGTGCAACACAAAAATGTATTGAACTGTCAAACTTGGCAGTCCTGATCAAATATGAATCAAGATTCTGTTACTGCATTGCTTATTTCTCTCCTCAAATCTTTTCACCAAAATCTTTATGTATTGTATGTATACTGGTTATATTATCTATTATATTATCTATCAAGGTTGATAAATTCATTGTATATTGGCTTTCTTTGGCAGCAAACAATGGATATCTAGATCACATCCATTTTAGGCATCCACCATCCCCAGGTCTTGTAACTACCAGGCACACAATCTGCTTTGTCTTCCAAAAAGGATGGACTTTAATTCTCTAAATTAAAGAGCTTAATGAAACACTGCTGTGGACCATTTATCACCACTAACAAAAGGACAGTGATGACAAACACATAAAATATCTATGTAGTGTTTCTTTGGGTGAACTTTACAACTTGCCCATTTAGGCTTAAATCTTTTCAAAGCTGACTGAGAGGAAATATGTCAAGCAACATATTATACTTGTGGCAAATAAAAAATGTTGCGCCTCCTCTTCCCTCAGTTGAATAGACTGGGACTGGGTATACAGCTACCCTGGAGCTACAAATAATACTACGGCCTTGTGCATCCTTCATGTGTGTGTTTGTGGCTGTGTGTGT